ACGAAGTGTCTTATTGTATTTCTCAACTTTAGAAAATACTTGTGCCAATGTTGCTTTATCTTCATAGTTGAGAATAATTCTTAATATGACTAAATCCAAGAATCTTTTGTCAATCTTAATTAAAAAAAACTTAATAGTTGGTTCTTAGCAAATACATCTCTTGACTCTATTACAAATCAAGCCAAACAAGTATACATCTTACGTGGAGTATCTTCTTTTTCATGGTAGAAGTCTTAAATGCATTGCATTTCATCATGCCTAAAACCTCCATATTCATATTTCAAATGCTTAATAAACATTTGAAGAGGTTCAAATAATGGTGGCTTTCTTATTATAAATAAAGTTCTCTTTATTTCTTGAGCCATGTAAGATAAAATAATTAGAGTGTTAGTTAAAGAAGTATGTATATTTTTTCTTTTGATATCTTTCAAAGATGTACCAACTTTTCTTTAGATTGAATCTTCTTCCTTCACCACATGCATTAAGCTTAAGATAGTACTCTCTTTAAGAGCTAAAATAAGCTCTATAGATGCCTTTCAATAATACTCCACTTTATGCAACTCATGTGAGTATTCTTCACTCCATTTTCTATAGGTTTGGAGTGCCTTATGCTCCAAGTATTGTGATAAGAGCTCAAAGGCATATCACTTATTGAAAGTAAGCTACCTTTGATGCTTTTCTTTCATCCAAATTTGAAACCTAAGTCTCCAATCTAGCAAAGAAATGCCTCCAACTCTTCTTAAAAATATATTTTTTATTATGTTATAAGGATCACCTTCCATCTTGTAAAATATGTCCATCTTTGAGATCTAAAGCCTTTGAGTAGTATCCAATGTTCAAACAAGTTAAAAATCCTAATTAGTATCTACTCTTAGCTTAAAGTCCTCAATATGGTCACTATTCAAGTAGTCTAGTGAAAGAGATTGATAATATCAACTTTTAGTATATACCATAGAAGAAACTACTTTAATACCTACAATTATATAAAGGCTAAAAGGACAATTTGCACTTGCAAACACTACTAAGCTTTGCAAATCACATCTAGATAATTACAAGAATAACATAACCACAAAGTAAATTATTTTGCTGACCATCAACTCAACCTCATCTCTATGATATGCTTATCAACACAAACTAGTACAAACACTAAATAGAATAACCACAAAAAACCTCTAGAAATAATATCCACAAGTAAGAGAAGATACCAAAAACAAAATCCAAAAATCTACATTGGATTCTCATACTCAACAACATATCAATAAAAATGAAAAACAAATCAGGGCAACTAGTACCGGCTTATGGAAGATGGTCACAAATTGTAGAATATGTGATAATAAAAGACAATTGCAATGAAATGAAATGTAGAGAAGTGGAAGTAAATCAAAAACTCACTTAGAAAGCAATTGGCATTTAGTAAATGCCACTTCAATGCTCCAAATGACCTCCACTTCTAAAATTGAGCATATCAATGGACTCCTTGGACCTCTTCTACATAAAATTGAGCCAAATATTATCAAATTTGGACTCCATATGCACTTGGAGTGAGCTTCCAAACTTAACACTTAAAGATTTTGGATTATCTATATCTATATATATATATATATATAGGTCTTATAACCGTGCAATGGGTCTATGACTATGTGTCTATATTGTTGTGGTGGCCTTTAATCACGTAGAGCCTTTTATCGTGAGTGTCCAATTACCACGTAGTTCTATCACTGCGCTCCTGTGACCATGTGATGCGGACTGCCTCTACTGACCGCCGCGAGTTACCGATTGTCGCCACAAGTCGCCGCAGATCCCAGTTGTTTTTCATGTGATTTTTGTACCAAACCACCATGCCGCAAGAGCTTCTGCCTCACACAATCCCACGCTGCGACCCTGCACGGGCTTCCGACTTGCACAATCTAGCGCCACTGTAGTCACACCACCTTGCGCAAAGTGCCTCACTAAGCACCCTCGATGTCGCTCCTAACGTCAAAAACCAAAAACAAAAAAAAAAAACAAAATTGAAAATTTGTCCAAGCTCGATCTATGCCTTTGCAAAGTTTTAGAGCATCGCGACTAAAACCTATGGCTCCCGGTGCTGCTCTTTGCAAGCTCTGAACCCTCGTTTGCATAATAAACCTGTGACCCTGATTCTTCGTAGACTGCAACTCCTCACAACTTTGCACTCTTGGATTGCAACCTACGATTGTCTGGTGCCGTGACTCCAGTTCTACGAGGTTTCAGTACTCCATTGCTGCACTCTAGCCTCAATGCTGCAAGGGTTTCTGCACCAATCGTGTCCAGTGCTGCAACCTTCTTGTACACTATGACTTGCTACAAAATACTCCAACACCCCCTACTAGTACCCTACATAGTGAATACAGTACTTAGAATTAATATACTATATTCCAGTACAATAGCTTCACTGGGTTCTGGTACCCATCACAATAGTACCCATAACCAGGCATCAAAACAACTCAAAAATTGGAGTTGATTTTTATTTTTTATTTTTTATTTTTTTTGTTTTGTTTTGATCTACTTCATTCTAACTTGCTTTACCACAAATTGAAGAGAAGGAGAGATTCTTGTCAAGTAAAAGATTAGAAATCTACACCAAACTAAGTCAAGCTATTTTTCACACTACAAAAAGAGAATCCAAGAGTGTAAGTGTGAAAATAAGAAAAACCCTAAAGAGTTACTAAAATGACTAAATCACCATAGCCAAGCAAATCCTTATAACAAGTTCTCTCACTCTCAAAATCACTCACAAGACTTGATAAGAATATCAAGTCAAGGGTTTTTTTCCACTTAAGTATTCAAATTCTAATTGATATGAATAAAATCAATTAATGGAAAAACTATCAATGGATGAAAAACCACTAACCAACTAAACTACATACATTTGACAAGATTTGGCACCCAATGTCATATCATGTGACAACTAATATATTGATGATTTCACATGTGTTTATATATATATATATATATATATGTAGATATATCTAAATTAATCAAGGCACAAGTAAATACACCCTAATGTTTATTAAATACATCCTTGACATTAAAAATAAATAAGAAGAAGTACCCAAAATATCTATTATATGTAGTAGTTATTAGAGGAACAATTCAATTAAAATGTTTCATTAGGAACTATTTCTTAAAGTGTATACCAAAATAGTTTTTCAAGTATTGGGTGTATTTAACAAAAAATGGGATGTAATGAATTCCACTATTTACTCAAGCATCAAGTTTAAAAATTAATTGGTCCAAATCAATTGTCTTTGGTAATATAAAAGAATATAGACAATACAATGGACTCACATATTTAGGTGGGTATGAATATCAATCAATAAAATAAATAAATTCCTATAAATTCTTCAATAGTGAGCAATTTGAACTATAAATAAAGAATAAGATCCAAAAGTTGGATTAAAATTAAATAAAAAAAATGATAATATGATTGCCTTTTCATATCTAAAACTTTCCAACTCCTATTAGGCATGAAACTCAATCTATGATTTCTTCTCATCAACACTTATATACAATTAAAGATAGTTGCTAAATTACACAATAATAGACTGAGTCAGGTTTAAGACATATTTAGACTATTGGATCTAAGATCTTCAAATTTTGAAATAAATCCAAAAAAATCATACAAACTTACATTGCAAGATAATAGACTCTAGAAGCATCTCACTTCTTTATTACTTAGGTATTGGCATAATATGATACCAAATAGGGTGCTATCTCCTATTACCAAATATTGAATAGGCTTGCATAAGGCAAAATATAATCATATTCTAACTGTGGTCTTCCAAATTCTTTTTTAACATGATGGAATTAAATAAACTAAGTGGCTTATAATGATCAAACCAACCAAATTAAATTATAACAAGTGCACAAATAACTTAGAATGCCATATTATGATTGTGTATATAATCTTAGCTTCAATATATATATACATTAATTCTTAAAGTAATAACAATTTAGTGTTAAGATTGTTCAATTAATTTTAAAAATAAAAATTAACAAATTAGAAGAGAAAATCACGTATAATCAAGTGAAAAAAAATAAAAAATAATTGTGAGACATTTCCTAGAAAATAGATCATATCATCATTGGCTAAACATATGTTACAAGTTCAAATAGATATAAATATTAGATGAAACTCAAAAGTTGCAGAATATGGACTCATAACCCATGATGATGTAGAAGGGAAGTGTGTTTTTGAATTGGTTATGAGCATGGACTTGTATATTATTTTTCATGAAAGCCCGTGGGTTCTCTAAATTTTATCGCAAATTCGAAACACAGGATAGACATTTGTTTTGTACCAAACTATCAAAAAATTAAACACAGATACTTTTTTTGTGCAAAATAGAATTTTGAAGATTCTTTTCGGACTCTTTCGTTCTTGATCAAGCACTCTAAGCTCAGATGGATCTTATCCTGGCGAAGTACTTTTGGGTGTATTTGAACTTCAATCCACAACTCCACCGATTATCACACAATTACATTGACGTTTCAGTGCATTTTCATGAAATCTGAATTGCATTATGGTACACATTTGTGTTGACAGCAACTCTGTAACTAAGATTAAACTGACCTAAGGACTCACTGATTACCAGTTATGTAACTAGAATCGCCTAAAATTGGACACACAGTAAGGATCAGTGAACACGATCAGCAAAAATAGTTCATAGTACACGTATCACTTAAACACTAAGCTATTCTCACTATTTGGTCGAACCCAATTACAGATTTTACGGTCCGGTTAATTTAAAAATTATTAGTAAAAATAGGCATTTCTAGATTTGTAATGAGTAAATAAAAGTTCACATGATTCTAATCCTGAAATATTTAGGCATAGGTAAATGAACCTAAACCTACATTTTTGAACTAATGAGCAATCCCAGACAGTGCAAAAAAACTACGTCAGTCCGCCACACTATCTCCAGAACCAATACCACGTAACAGATGGCTGAACATTCAGCTCGCACCCAAAAACGATAGAAAATAAGGCGGCCCAATTATGAAATCTGCAGCGCATATATAATGGAACAGGACAACACAAGTTCAACAAAATCATCTCAAAGCGTGCACCCTGAAGGGTAATTCAGGCTTCAAAACCTTCACCAATCCAAGGTGGATGAAAAAATTTCGAACGCTCAGCAAAGCCTAAAGTAGAACTGTCAACAGTAACCAGTACGTCTAAGCAGTAGCAGATGTAGTGCCAGAGCGCAGGCGTCCTTGGTCTCTCTTGTTTGACCGTGGTGCAGAAACCTCTTCAACCTGCAAAGTTCGTAACCATGCAACACATTAACATCAAATTTGACACTCGAAAGTCAAATAAATTGACACAGAAACTCTACAGAAACTCTAGAATGCAGACCCTAAATCAAGCAGCATTACCTCTTTTTTCACTGGCGCCTCCTTCTCAGAAAGAATCAATTCAATGTGGCAAGGAGAGGACATGTAAGCTGCATCACAAAATAAAGAATTAGCATAAGTTTCACAGATACGTCTTTCACGATCGTCCTAGAGAATCGAGAACTGAAGAAACGACAATACAAAAGTGGGACAAAGGAGCGACTTACGGTTGATACGTCCGTGGGCACGGTAAGTACGTCTACGCTGCTTTTGCGCCTGGTTGACTTGAATATGAGAGACAACGAGAGAGTCTACATCAAGACCCTTGACCTGCAATACTCAAAATCGCAGAATAAGCCACTCAATCAGACATCTAGATCACGAGAGTTATCAAAAAGATTACACATCTTCCAATAGTCAATTTTAATATATTCTTTCAGACACACCTCCGCATTGCTCTCGGCATTCTTCAGCAAATCCAGCAAAAAGGTAGCTGACTTCACGGGCCAACGTCCCTGTCCATTGGAATGGCGTGCCTTAGCCTGTGCAGTACGCCCAACACCACCACAGAACCTGCGGAAGGGGATAGCCTGCTTGTGAGCACACACATCTTCAAGGTACCGCTTAGCCTTGGCCAACTCCATATGTTTGATAGCTTGCGCTGCTTCCCTAGTGTTCTGCAATGCAGAAAGAAATCCAACATGAATTCTTTTTTGTCTGTGTAATATGTACGAATTTTACATGATTGACACGTCCACTGAAGCTACTAGCTCGTAGGGAAACTTGAGGGTCAAACACTTCGACAACAAAAACTTCAGTGATGATCAGTACCTTGAAGTGCACTCGCAAATCGGAACCTCTGGCCTTGCAGGCTGCATCCATCGAATGAAAGGGTATAATCAGGAAAACTTATCAGAAGAGCATGTCATCAGATCAATTCAAAAGAACAGAAAACTGTTGAACAAGAATAGCACAAAAGTGCATCCCCAGTCAGACCTACCCTTGGTGGCATTCACCGGGTCCCTCGCGTACTTGACCTGTGAATCATGCAACACAAGCGTCTTTAAACTCTCTGTCCACTTCCCAAGCCTCACAAACGAAACCCTTCGCAAACTCCGACAGCAACCCACAAATTCCAAAACCCTAAAATCACATTTCAACAACTTTCCGACCCAACTACATCCCAGCAAACGAAACTTACATCACCAACCAAGATATGGAGATGATAACCAAAGAAGTACAACAACAACAACAACAAATATAACGTGCTATCAAATTACAACAGAAGGACTTCAGCCCTAGATATAGGATTACATTGGCTGTGCCGATGGTGATCCATTGAAAGACTGAAAAGCAGCGACAAGAGTGGGTTTCAAAGGAGACACAGAATCTAATAACAAAGCGAAGAAGGAGACATTACACAACGAAGCAGGAATTGAGAAAAAGGATACTGCGTACCATGTCGAAAAACGGTGGGGGAACAGCGCCCAGCCAGGGAGAGACGTATTGCGACGAAGAGAGAAAGCTTCGAAGCTGGCTCTAGGGTTTCATACCCGCCCTCTCTCTCTCGGTCCGATTCGGAAATTCAACCTCGCTCTAGGGTTTCACTCCAGCACAACCATTCCACACGACAATTCCACTCGACGGTTCCACTCGACGATTCCACTCGACGATTCCACTCGACGGTTCCACTCGATGATTTCACTCGACGGTTCCACTCGACGGTTCCACTCGACGGTTCCACTCGACGGTTCCACTCGACGGTTCCACTCGACGGTTCCCCGCCACGACGATTCTATGGGCTTCTAATTGGAGGCAAAAGTGCCAAATGCAGTCCATTTAGGGCTTTTTATATTAATTCAGAAGTCTTAGAAAATAACAATTAGCGCCTCAAATTTATGAATTATTATAAGAGCAAAAAATCAATGCATTTTTTTTCTTGCATTTCATACAATCAATCCCACAAACATTTCAAAGATACACTGTGATTTTTTGAATAACAGGACTGAAAGTTGTGTACATTTTGGGTTCAGAATTCACTTACTGATGAAAAAAAACACTGCAATACGTCATGTGAGTACACATGTGGTAATGTGAAAGAATACAGTCCAAAAATGAACTCTGGTAGTCAAATACTTAATCATATTAAGGTTGAATGAACACCAAAAAAAAGATACATTCGGATTATAAATAATCTAGTTTTTTAAGAAAAAAGGATTATGTTCAGATTTTATTTAAATTTTAATAGTTAAATAAGTAAATATAGCAAAAATATTATATTACAGAATTATTTTTATATTTTAAAAAATGATGGAAGAAAACAGTTGACATAAAAAAAACTAGTCTTAATTTGATTCTACCCTCTGAATATGCCAAAAACTTGTATTAATGTATAAGAATCTAAAAATTGCACAAAAAAATCCAAGAATATATATCATACTGTAAAGACAATATTTAATTATTTACATACTGGCTAATTAATAAGGAAAAAGATAAGTTAAAAGTTCTAGTTCCTAAAAACAAAAACTAAAATATGACAAGCTTCAATTAAATACATTCATCCTAAAAAGAAAAAAATATGGTTCTAACATATAAATTTAGAGCAAATTCTTTCTATGCTAATAAATACAAAGCCAAAGTTTTCTACGACTTTTTCTTTTCCCCTTTTAGAATATAAATATAAATATATCTTATTTTTATAAATAATTTTATTGTTATATTCTACACCCACAATATATTTAGAAAAAGAGTTCGTAAAAACTAAATAACACAGTCAATGTATTACCTGTTGTTAGCATGTCATTTTTATTTTTTTTATTTTTTTTATTTTTAAACTTTTATTTTAGATTAATTATTTTGTGTTCAGTTTTATCATCAAGATGTATTTGTCACACTTCTTCATATCTTAGTTCTTCATGCTGTGAAATGCTCCAAATGTTACACTTACAGAAAATGCCAACTATGATTGAAAGACAAATTAAATCTTGGTTCTTCGACTTATGAAATATCTCCATCTCTACCGATTGTTAATTCAAAGCCACAATTTAATTATCATGTGTGTTTGATTGCAGGAACTTGAGAGGATTCGTATTCATGCACTGGAGTTTGGTTTCCAGGCAAGGCAGCTTTGGTACGCCTCCGTTTCTGATGTGCAACCAAAACACACTCTGCTCCCATTCCATCCAACTACATCGTGACAATCCCAAGTTCCCTCCGCCTTACCGATAGAGGCACTGTCGGTGAAACATTCGTGTAATGCGGCGCCATTCCACCGTCTCAACTAAAGATTTGCTCTACTTCGAAATGTAAACAACATCGCACATACAAGATACAATGATATTATGTTCATGACAATCCTGCACTGACTAGACACTGGATCAGACGGACCAGTGCACAACATTGCGCTGCTCAGAACTAGCCTCAGTTGTGAACGCACAGTTTCAGATTATCGTGTCGAAACTAGGAGCTTCACCCTTGATAGACCTGACAGCTTCGCATCACTTCTCCAAAACCCTGGTTCTGCGCAGGTGACACAGCTCAAAACCGCAAGTAGGAATAGTTCGCAAGTCAAGACATTCAGAGGTTCCACCTTTGCCTGGCCGTACTACAGCACACACCACTCTTACAATCGGTTGCTGCGGGTCCACATCACCCATATCCGTTGCTGAGCCGCCTGAACCGACACGACAGAAGTGGTACAGCTTCATCAAACTCTTGTATACCAAGCAAGCACGCTCGTCAGACCCGGCAGGTTCGTGGACATCTAGAGTGCGAAGGCCACTGGAACGGAAACTTTATAAACGAAAATGCTTCTCTTACAATACAAAATGACGTAAAATCAACCAATCTGTGTCATCTCTACCTCAATGTCTGCAATACTAGAACATCTATAACCCGCTACGCCTCTTCCACTGTTGCTGCTTCCACCGCTACCACATTTCCATAGTTGCATCCAGGGCGTCCATTGCTTCCGCTGCTGCGCCTTCATGAGTACAGCATCTGAACCTCCACATGGTTACCTATAATTGCACTCGCACCCATCGGCTTTAGTAATTAGTGATTTACTTGTTAAAAGTATAACTTCTCTTCGAGATATAACTGTGGATTTTTGTAATAAAGTATATTATTACACCCGATATCTGTGTGTAGAGCATTGTGTTATAAGCTTAGAGACAAAAGGTTATGGGCCCGAGGCTTCAAAACCGCGCATGAGTGAATGGATTGTTGATCGTATAGCTGTAATCTTCATTGTTCAGAGTATTGTTGATTGTGTTATTGACTGCAAAGTTGTATTGCATTGTTCACGAAGATATCTAAGTAATATCTTTCTGTCAAATTGAATTTGAACTTATTGTTTTCAAATTTATTTCTCTTCCTAAGACTCTGTTCCTAAGAGTTCTTTACAAATGTTCATTCATTTCTTCCTATTCTAATCACTATGTCCATCGAAAAGGATTTAATCGGTATTCAACGTTTTAGTGGTACAAAATTCCATTTATGGAAATGGCAAGTTAGAAATCTATTTCGTGCGAAAGGTTTCATTCAGCACATAGATGGCACTGGTTATAGCAGTTTAGATGACAAACAATAGACAGAGAGAGATTATAATACCTACACCTTGCTTACTTCCTCGATCAAACGTAAATTCCTTTCTCCTTTGACTAGTTGCATAATAGCGCAAGATGTCTGGGATTGGCTTCTTGAGGAGTATGAACACAAAAGTAGTGAGAATATTCATGAACTCCAACGCCAGTTCTTCAATGCGAAATTAGAACCCGACCAATCCATGTCTAACTTTATAGTACAACTAGAACTCACCATGAGTGAACTTTGTGAATTAGGTGATGCAACTTTTTTCAAATACTTTCATGATATCAAAGCTTACAACTAACTTGCCTGTTAGATTCGACGATTTCACGACCACCTGAGAAAGCACTTCTATAGAAGACCGCACTCTTCCTAATCTCAAGCTAAGGTTGCAAAAGGAAGAGACCAAGATTTTGAAACGTTTATAGTAAGACTCTGCTCCTAACTCTAAAGCGTTTTATGCTAATCCCCCCCATATTTCTTCTACTGCCAATCACAAGATCCCATCGAACAATGGAAGTCTCTACTCAAGCTTCTTATGCTGAGTCATTGGTTTCTAAACCTCTTTTTCATCAACAACAATTATATCCCGATGTGGATTACTATTCTTCCACTGCTCTTCATGATGACTATCAAAACCACTTCAATTCTTACGAACAAGATCAACCTTCTTCTTCTTCTGATTTTCCAAGTTCTGATATTACTCGTGCCTATAATGCTTTAGCTTCTGAAATCATTCCAAAGGTAGGATTGCTGATAGCGGCGCTACAGACCACATGACGGATCAGATCCATTGGTTCATTAACTATAAATCTCTGCCTTCGGATGCTGTATGGCCTGTTGAAACACCCGCAGGTCATCGTTGTTTTGTCAAGGGTACTGGAGACATTAAAATCCTTGTACAATTGCCTAATTGTACCAAAATCCATTTACTCCAGCAGGTCTTGTACATTCCAGGATTCGGGAGGAACTTATTCAGCCTAACCAAAGTTGCTCGGAAACACAAGATTTTTACACTCTGTAAAGACAATACTTGCAAACTTTTGTAAAACAATAACCTCATTATGACGGGCAAAATGATGTAAAGTTCTTATTTTCTTGATTTTACGATAATACTCCCTCACGCAGTTGCTTCCTACGCAGCCACATATGGAAACATAACTTCTTTCGAAGAGCTCCAAGGTCTTCAGACTTGGCATCTTCGGCTAGGTCACTTGCATCATGACATGAATCGAAAAATGGCAGCTAATGGAGCTGTCAATGGTTTAAGGCTCAAGACTACTCAAGCTCCTATGTTATGCTCAAGCTGTGCTTTCGGAAAGTCTCATCGTGCAACATTTCTTAAGAACATCAATAGAGTCAGAGCTACACAATCACGAATGTTGATTCATAGTGACATTTGCGGTCCGATGAGCGTCCTCTCTCATAGCGGTTCACTTTACTACATATTATTTCAAGATGATCATACACGCTACAGATTTATTTTCTGCATTACCAAGAAATTTGATGCACTTGTTTTCAGCAATTATGCAAGACTCTTTTCGGAGATACTGGCCATAAAGTTCTCATACTAAGAATTGATAACGTGGGTGAATATTGCAACAAATGTTTCGCAAACCTTTTCCATGCAGAGGGCATCAAACACGAGTTCACAATATAGTATTCGCCAAAACAGAATGCGGTTTTAGAGTGAGAAAATAGAACCATAATGGAGGCAATTTGGAGCATGATTCATCATGTTCAACTTGATCCAGCGTTTTGAGCCGAGGCTATTGAAAACGCTGTCTATACACTCAATCGCACTTGTTCACATCTTAATCCTCACATAATACCATTCGAAGCTTATACTGGAATCAAGCCCTCATTGGCTCACATGAGGCCTTTCGGCTGCAAGGTATATACTCACATACCTCACCAACTGCACAAGAAGCTAGATCCAAAGAGCCGCACTGGAATTTTTCTAGGCTATTGTGATGCATCTAAAGGATACAGAACATGGGACTTACAGCGTTGAC